TAGAGATTTAGGACTCAACTTCACTTAGACTATCTTTGTTCTATATACCAGCAATAAGTAAAAGCTTAAGCATGGGAAACAGACCCAGGTCATTCATATACACTGGCTCCAATTTGATTCTAGGGAACCACCTCTGTTCAGTTTTATCAGAAAAGAGAATAACTTTAACTCAAAAGAGTCATTCCATCCATTGTCTGGAGAGTAAGACAGGCAACTGGTCTAAACAACCTTAGTGTTCATATACAGATAAATGGTGGTCTGCATGTGAATTGGAATATTACTCTGTTTGCAAAAAGGAAGAAAATCCTGATGCCTGCTATAAAATGGATGACTTTTTAATATATGAAGCATGAATGACGTTCAGAGAGATGACTGAGTTCATAAAAGGGTTCAGCCTAATGACCTGAGTTTGATTACTGGAACCCACCTAGAAAAACTCGATGAGGCGATATGCATCTGTAATCCCAGAACTCCTATGGCAAGATGGGAAATGGAGATAAGGGAATCACTCAGAAGGCCATAGGTCAGCTGGATATCCAGAGATGCAGTATGACAGAAACAAAGAAACCCTGTTTCAAAAACAAGGTGGAAGGAGATAACTGAGTCCCAGTAGTTATCCTCTGACCTCCATTATGTGCACCATGGAACATGTGTGCAAGGGGCACACACAGACACACACACACCATATACACATGAAAATGCTAAATAAAATAATTTCTAAGAGTGGGATACAAAAGGATAAAATAGGGTAATTCTGTCTGTATGGTGTGCTAGATGAGATGACTCACAGAGACTCACAGAGTAGAATGATGGTTGGCAGAGTCTGGGGAAGAAGGAGGTGGGAGTTATCAGAGTTTCATTTTGGGGTGCTGAAATGATGTGAATGTGGGCACTGGCTGTGGCTTTACATTGTGTGGAAACTCTTTATGCCACTAAATTGGAGATACCAAAAAGACAAAAGAAATACCAAAATTGGGGGAATAAAAAGTAGAGGAAAAGAATATGGTTGCTAAGGTCTGCTTGCCAACTTATGTACTCACTACTTTCCTTGGTCAAGATGTATCAACACAGATCTAGCCAAAAATAACATTCAAGGCAAAGCTTTAATGAGTCCTATGTGTAGCTGGAAATATATGTGAAACAACTTTATCACAATCCCTCTCGCTGTGCTCTTAGAATGCAATGCTACTTCATCTTTATCAGTGAAAATCAAGATCAAGATGAAGCAATGATGATTTCTGCCAAGCCATCCACTCGTTTGCTTTGGAAATTTTGCACAATATTCTACTTAGATGTTAGGAAGTCTGACCTTTGGCCATCTTTTAGTTTGTCATGACTTACACTCTCCATTGTGGGATCTTAACTGGGAGCGATGACCCAGGTCCCTTCCTGTAGAAGAGCTGGCTTGGTTCATGTTTTGAGGAAGGTGAATTCAGAGGGACAATATCCTGAAAGAAGGCCCAGCAGGAAAATCTCCAAAATAGAGGAAGCAGAGAACATGGCTATCCAATGACTGTGTAAATAGATCTATGATCCACACAGACAAATTTTGAGGAATATCATTCTCTGATTCTCTGGCAGATATTCTGTTTCTTAGTTGAAGACCCCAGGATCAACTGGGTACAATGCTTCAATCCAATGGTCCTCAAAATAGGGATGGAAAAGAATTGGCAAGATGTCATGATACCACACATACAGACACAAATATATTCAACAAAGACACCAAAACCCTTCTGATTACTCAATTGTTTCTTAATGATAAAAAAGGAAAGTGTACTTATTACTGGAGCAAGCATCCCAGAAATGGAAGCAGTTGAATAGTACTCCTTGGGTAGTACTATGGTAATATGTGAGGTCAACATATAGTTTGTTTTAGAGTCACTCTTAAATAGGGAGGATTGGGCTGGAGAGATGGCTCAGCCGTTAAAGGCTAGGCTCACAACCAAAATAAATAAATAAATAGGGAGGATTACCAGGTGGTGGTGGCGCATGCCTTTAATCCAAGCACTTGGGAGGCAGAGGCAGGTGGATCTCTATGAGTTTGAGGCCAGCCTGGCCTACAGAGTGAGTTCCATGACAGCCAGGGCTACACAGAGAAACTCTGTCTTGAAAAAAAAAACAAATAAGGAGGATAAGCACACATATCCCACTCCAGGTCTTTTGTGGATGGAACTAGATTTCATGGTGTAAAGACTGTCACTATGAACTAGTTTTCTTTTCTCATTCTCTACTAAGACCATGTGGGCTCTTTCCTCAGCTCACTATTGGAGGACCAGACGGAGTGACTCATGACCAGGCACCTGAAACTTAATTCCATAGTTTAGTAACTATTTCAATCTCATAGTCATGAACTATGCCATCAAATAAACTCAGATCAGCTCAAAGGCAAGAACCTTCAGGGTCTTCTGGGGGGAGTTAATTGTTGCCTTCCATACACACAACTGAAATGACCATTTTCTATCACCATTACAAGAAGCTGAGGTACAGAATGTATCCCATCCATCCCTCATCTTTCCTACTGAGATGTCCACATAAAAGTCTAAGATCCACTTAACAGATCTAGCATGGAATGCTATCAGCATTGTATTTCTGCTACACAGTGCAGAAGTTTGAGCTGTGATGGTAAGAGTCAACAAGTAAAGGGGCTATGGGAAAGAAGGTTGACTGGGAAGAAGCATGCAGGAATTTTTATGTTTAATTTGAGGAAGACATCATATGTTCATTTTGATACAGTTGTCAAAACTTACTAATCCAAATAGTTAACTTTAATCCATTTGTTACATGCAAATTATATCTGACTTCAGTTCAGTCTGAAGGCCACTAGCCCAGGGACTCTTCACTACTGGCACAGAGAGCTCTTCACTTCACTTCTGAGCAACAGCAGCACCTTGAGATGCCTGGTTGATTCTCAATCTTCCCCAGGGAAAGCCCACTGCTTCCCAACAAATTCACTAGCAAGCTTTCCCACTCTCCCACACATGAGCACTTCCACACTCACAGGTGATAAGATCAGAAGCTCTGTTTCTGCCACTCTCCAGCCCAATGCTTGTGTCTCCTTTAGAAAAATGGGCTCAATAATGTCACTGAACACTTTTTTCAGAGAGAATTTAGGGGCATTAATAAGATAATAGTGACATCAGTAACAAACACAGATTTAAGACAGGGTCCACTGCAAGGGCATGTTTTGTTGCTGTTTGTTTAAGCATCCAGGGATATATCATGCAGAAATTCATCCACTTAGTGATACAAACTAGAAGGATGTGAAAGGCAAGGATGGAATATAGGAGTATAGGAGTATAAAATGAGTCAGTGTTGGTTTCTTATTCTCTAAATGTGTCTGTTTCAGTCCTTTTTCTACCATGACAACCTCTGACATCACTGTCCTCCCCTCCCAACAATCTACTCACTACCATTCATTCTAAAGACACATTGAAGTTTCTGGATCCGATGCTGATAAGAATGGGGACCATTTCTCTCAGAATTCTCTCTCAGTTTCCACAATCCAAACCTGAGAGTATTTTCCTCATCTTGGAGCAAAGTGCAGGATTTTAAATTAGAAGCATGGTTGAAATCATCCCAGGAAGAAGCTCTCTGCACAGCTCCCCCTGCCTAACCCTCCCCCACCCTCAGCATGAACAAAGGTGACCAGAGCATCAAAGAGTTACAGATCAATCAAGTAACCAAGTCTAGGCTTTATCTTACAAGATGCTGCAATCCCTCATGGGATACTGGCTCCTGTGAAACTTTGGTGGTTAAAGAAAACCCCCAGTGCCACTTGTTGAACAGTTTCATGCAGTAGTTTGGGTAGAACAGGAGGACAGGGAGGCAGGCAGACCATCTCCAAGGAAAATGCAAGACAAGTAGAAGTAACTTATTGAAAGTATTTAGAGAGGGAGATAGGGAGGGAAGATGGGGGAGGGGGAGAAGACAGAGAGGCAAAGAGGGGAGGAGAGAAGGAAAGAAAAAGAGAAAGGAAGAGGGAGGGAGGCAGGAGAAGGGAAGGGTGGAGGGAGGGCAGGAAAGGCAATGGAATGTTGTAAAGGCAAGCTCCCAGCTGTGGAGCTCCTGGGTGGGAGTTAGAGGAGAAACTCCCACTTTTGGGTCACCAGTTTATGTCTGCTCCTGCTGCTCTATATGAATGGAGACAGCCTTTCCCCTGTGGTGTGGTTTTTATTGACAGATGCCCCTAAAAAATAGGGGAGAACAGACTTTTTTCTTCCTTCCAACCAAGGACAACAGAAAAGTAGATGGTACCTCCTGCCTGCTTGCAAAAACAGTATAATCCACACCAGCCAGTCCCTGCCAGGCTGAGCATTTTCCTAGAAGCATGAAATCAGAGACCTCAGCCCCAAATTACCCCAACCTGGGGTTAACCTGTTGCACCTGCCCACCATAAATTCACACCAGGAAAGAAAGCAAAAGGTCAGGTTAGGCTCTCACCACAGCAAGAACCCAGGTAATCCTGGAGGAAAATGACATTTTAAAATATCACCTCTCCAAGATCCCTCCCAGGAGCACAACTTTTAACTCTACCTCCACTCCTACCCCACCCCCACCCCAGGCCTGCTCTGTAACACTTTCCTACCACCTACAGCTAGTTAGGAAAGAGTTAATTAAGGAAGATCCAGGACTCATTTTCCCCCTACCCTCCCTCTGTCTACATATAAAAAGGACAGCCTCACATGGAGACTAGCACAATTACAAGCCTGCTAGCTCCGACCTCACCTGTCTTATGCAACAGTGCACACACATACATTTGCTCAGGCTCACTCCCAAGGCCAAGGTCCACATCCCCCTCTAATTCGGTAGACACAGTTTTGCGCCTTTCTCCTTTCTTTTTTTTCTCTAAGCAGAACCCAGCTTTACAGGCAGTCGAAAGAGATGTTTCCTTACTGCCAACCGCCTTGCCAGGACACAGAACAGAAATGCGTCTAGTCGCTCTCCGTGGTGCTGAAATCTCGCTAGCGAGGAACCCGAGGAGCGCAGTGCTCTGGACTTACCCAGATTGGGGGGGCTGTCGGGGAGCTAGAGGAGCTTCCTGAGCAGAGAATTCTTGCCTGTTCGGGCTGGGGCCAGCTGATGCGCTCACCTAGAGCGCCCACCTCTTCCCTCTCTTTCCTTCCTCTTTTTCTGAGAGGGAGAGAGAAGGCTTCACGAAAGAAATGCAACCCAGATGGGTAGGTATACCAGTGGAAGGAGAGAAGAGGCAACCAAATAAGATCAAAAAGTCAGATGGCTTTACTCCACTAGTGGTAATTCCTTGGGTCAGGGAGGACCCCCTCTTCTTTCTCAGTCTGAGGCTGCTCTGTCTCTGTCTCTGCGTGTTGAGCCAACAGCCTTAGCACAGTCGGTTGGTTCCTGCCTCTGACGCGAACGAGATGAGGAAGCCTGGGACCGTTCTGCTGTCTTTCGCAAGCTCTCTCTTTTCCCCTCTTACTGAAATTTCTACAGCATATTTTTAAGCTGTTTTTTCCAGCCTTCTACAAGTAGCCCCCTAGTGGACAGAAAAGCAACTCGTCTTTGGTCGTCTTGATCAATCTGGCACCCACAAACTCTCGGAGGCTTCCTTTCTACACAACCAGCCAGGGTCCCAATGAAGACAGAGACTTCCCTCTGGTGAGTCCAGACAGGAAGACAGATGGGAGTGAAGACCTTTTGCAGATCCTTTGCCTGTGGTTACAGTCGTAAAACACAGCATGGGATGGAGGGTACCTTTTGAGGACAAAATAGAACAAGTTCAGTTGTGAGGGTCTAAGTGGTTTAAAGGCCTCAATGAATCCTCTAAAAACTCAATGGACACCCAAGTGAGAACTGGGCATACCCATTATAAGTCAAGAATGACAGGAGTGCCTACCTAAAAAGGCAGCTATGAAGAAAAGGAAGGAGACATCAACTGACATTCCACTCAACCCCATAATGTGGCTTTTTGGAAAGCTAGCAAGAAAAACAGGCAGGAAGACATAATCTGATATTATCTCAGGAATGGAGAAAGGACTGATCTTGTTTGCATCCCTGGAGAAACTCAGCAGAAAGGGGGTAAGGAGGTCTGTGTTCATAGTCTCTAAGAGCTAGCTTGCCCTTACTTTTAACTGCACAGTCACTCTGCCACCTGGAAAGTGCTTTAGCACTTATGCCTGCAAAGTCAGTCTTAGTTTTTTACTGCCTCTTGAGCACTATATATTTTGCTTCTGTGTGGCTCAATTCCACTGTTTGTAAAATGTGGATAATGCTGCCCCCTCCCTACTGAATAGAAATGCTGAAAGATCAGAGTAATATAGAAACATAGAACCTCTCAGCTGGCAGGAAATTTAAGTCCAATCTTATCCAAACACTCTTCTTATACTTGGTTTACCCTTGACAAATAATAATAGCTAACGTTTATAGAGCATTTGTACTGGTCACTAAGCATTGCTATGAATCCTTACACATATTATCTCACTTAACTTCTACATTAATCCTATGATGCCAATGCTCTATTTGCATCTTTTAAACTGGGGAACTGGGACACAAAGGAATGAAATTACTTGCCTAAGATAACAAAGCTAACACAAATCAGGAGGTTGGACCATTGGCCATGACCCTAGAGCTTCCCCTGCTAACTCTCATTTCACTTTAGAAGGGACAACATTGAAAGCAAATGCAATGCATAAAATGATCCTTGTTATTCTAAATAACATGTCTAAGCTGTCATAATGAATTTGCATGTGGCTGCTGAGTTTTTAAAATAAAATATTTACAACTGTATGTGCCAAACAAACCAGGGATTTCTATTGCTTTTGGAAATCCCCTAAGAAAATGCATTCTCTTAGATTCAGTTAGCATCACAGATACAAACCAGTTGTGAATCTCATAAAATTGGAAAGTACAGGGCATTAGTGTCAAGTCAGAGGACACATTAGTTAATCTCTACACCTAAAGCAGATCACTTTGTAGAGACCAACGCAGTACTAAGATAGAACCAGAAACTTGATGGGCTGAACTGCAATGCCAGCTACTAAGAACTGAATAAGATTTAGCCATTTTCTTCAGAATTTCAGTCATGAATTCCTTACTTAATATGGCTTGTTTTAAAAAACCTTTGGATTAAAAGGAATGGGGAAGGGCAAAAATGGGTTTTGATGTTTGCAAATCATAGTCCCCATTTTTTATGGAGTTTGCAGTTTCTCAAAGTGGAGAGAAAGGGCACAGATCAGATAGTTCAGAGGCTGGTGCCAAGACATGGGCAGAGGCAATGTAATAAATGAGAACACAGAAAACTCACTTCACCAGAGAGCCACAGGCTTTCCAAGGAGCACATAATCTGAGCTGAGACTGGAAAAAAGAGGTTATCTCAGCAAATGGCAGCTAAGAAACTGAACCAGAAGACATGGCAAATTTATGAAGGTGAAGACTGAGTATTGTGAACCTTCTAGGGTAAGCATTACCATTCACAAATGAGAAGGCTGGGGCTCACACAGACTAAATGGATAGCAGAAGGTCACCAGTATTCTTGCTGCCATATTTTCCACCCATGCAGCTAGACCAAAGAAGAGTGCCACCCTTGACACTTAGCTACCTCCATAAAACAGTTTGTCACCATGGCTTACCTTCCTAAGGAAAAGCTATACCACAGCCAACATTTCAGACGTTTCTAGGACCTACTCTTTTAGAATTTAAGGGTAGACACAAGGACTCGGATGACACAGCTATGACTTTTTAGTTGAACCAGGGAAAACTAAGGGTTCTGTTTTGGAGCACAGTGAATCCAGAGTGGGCAAAGAAAGCTCTTAGTTCCAAGACTAATCAAGGCAACAAACACACCACTGTCCCAGTGAGCTAGATGAAAGCAGCGTGTTATAAACATGAGACAAGGTGACAAGAAAGCTTCACTCTGTATAAGAAGAGATGGCAAGAAGAGGTGGACAATCTACATGATTACCACCCAAGGCTATCTCATGGGAGAATGCTTTAAGAGCAAGCCTTCCCCTTTCCCAATCCTTTCCTATGCTGCATCTTTCCCCTGATCTTGTGCTTATATGGCCACAGAGACATAGGGTTACAAATAATTGCCCTTTTCTTCTATGAGGACACAAATTCCTTGGAGGCCAGGACATTGACTTCTGGGTATATTTGCAGTACTGTGGGGGTTCTGTGAGCCCAGGATACTGAGGATGCTAGGAAAGACAGAAAATGTGGAGGGGCATAGTCCCAGGTCATAGTCCCTGAGCATGACCACACATGGATAGTAGTTCCTCTGCAATGACTGGGAGTTCATGGCTTCTCCGGATCAACTGCACAGATAATCAGGAGGCACACCTTCAGACCATGCCATAGTAGCTGTGCTGGGACTCTCAGACCTTTAACACAAGGAACTTACCATTCATTTTGCTCTGTGGCCTCTGACTGGAGAAGAACCAAGAGGAAAGCAGCCAACATGAAGAATTGTCCAATAATGGACACTTCCAAACATGGTCCAACTCAAGAAGTCACTTGTCAGGGCACTGTGCAGTCAAATATTGGAGTCAATGGCTCACTCATTCCCTTCCAACTCAGATGACATGAGTTGTATTGGCCTAATGGATATAAGTTACATTTAGAAGGAACTATTTCAGGATCTGAGAGGTACAGGGAGGAATTCTTAAAGATTGCCATGAGAACAATGTGACTCAAATGTTCACCTCCACAAGGAGGCAGAGAAGGCCCTGCATCCTAAGACTGCACTTGGGTTCTGTCCCAACATGACTCAGCAGGACTCGGTGACCTCATTATATGATGAGGATGATGTCTGAAGAGAACTCTGAAGGAACAGCTGCTGGCCATGGCGACAGGAAGGCTGGAGCTACCAGCAGACATTAGCTAGGAGAAGAACTATAGAAAATGCCTCCAGTGTTTTAAAACACTAAATTGAAAGAACCTGGAAAAGTACAAGTAGAGGTTTGAGAGAACAAGAAGGCTGTTGGACAACCTTGAAACTCTGCCAACCCACTGAAAAAGCAGGATTTGCGATTATGTTGAAGCAGGAGATGAAAAAGATCACTTGCCCCAAATCTTTTGCCTAATTAGATGCCACAAGAAGGTAAACCCCATTTCAATAGAGATTGTGGATCTATCACTTTGCCTGTGAAGTACATCTTCCCAAGCCCATTCTAGAACCAGAACCTACCCATTCATCATCTCAAGCATCATCCTGGACTCATGAGCTAAACTTGTTCTCCCTTCTTCCCTATATTTTGAAAGGGCTCAAGACAGCATGTACTCCAAGTATAACCAGCTAGAGCTTTAGAAGATGGGAAAGTTGTTCCCTAAGAGTTTACCAAACGGAACCATGTGAGCCTAAAGTGGACCAAAGCCATTTCCCCGACTTTATGAGATGACCCCATTCACATTTACAAATAATGATGTCAGTTCCCAGCAGGACATAGAGCCAAGGGCAGGAAGAAAACTCCAGACGATGTTGTCTGAGCTGCTAACTCCAGTGAGTTCTGAATCCCAGGAAGGTGAGTAATGTATGCTCCTTTGCTTAAACTAATTTGTGGTGCTCTGTTTCTTTAACTACTGTATCCCTTTTTCTTTCTAATTGACATCCCTTTACATAGCTCAGGCCATTCTCCAAACTGTGATCCTCTTTCTTCAGCTTCCCAAGTACTGGGATTTTAGGTATATACCATCACACCCAGTTATAGTGTACCTTTCAAATCTTGCAAGGTTCCTGGAAAACTCAAACTCCCTTTAGGATGAGGAAACCCTAAACAGTAACCTCAGGACTGTCATTTAAAACATGAGTTCAGAGCAGCAGTGGGGAATGAACCAGGCATTCAAGGCAGAAAGCTAAACATTTTCTTTCTCATTCCACAGGGAAAAAGCACTGAAAACCAAGACTTTCATTGGGAAGTATAGAAAACAGTCCAGTAGAAAGATAGGCAGCCACTGTTGTGACTATGTAGGAGAGGTATGGAGGGGGCTGTCCCAGAGTCCTGGGGTTTGTTTGTCCTTTGGTTTCCAGATGAAAGGACACTCTGTTTATGACCTGTCAGCATAGGGGCCCTCCAAGGCTCTTTGTGGAGTTTCACCTACAAGAGGACAGCAATCCCAGTCTCCCTGTTCGTGTGTGACAAACCTTTCCATTCAGGCTTCTAGCATGCCCAGACTGGACACCACCTCCTCCCTCTCAGTTTGTCTGCCTCCTCTGAGGGCAGAGCTGGCTCAGAGGGTTCTGAGAAGAGTCTGTTCTGGGAACTGCAGCCCCGTGCTTGTGCAAGCAAGTCTGCACTGTCTTCCTGAATCATGAACCTGCCTCCCCCCTCGGCTTCTGTGCATAGGGCCTGGCCAGCTGCATCCTGCCTGGGGAGGGAGGACTGCTGGGTGATGGAATGCTAGCCAAGGAGGGATGCAGCTGAGCTCCTGGCTCCCAGGCCTGCCTGCCAGCTAGGAATTGTTATCTATACCCAAGAGCAAGCTAGGCTTCCTACACTAAATTAGCGAGAGCAAAGCAGATGTCTGCCTTCAGTGCAGCAGAGGATTAGATAGGCCTGTCTCCTGCTGCAGGCAAGGGCAATGATGGGAACCCAGGATGGATGAATGTCGGTTCCTGTTGCAGGACCACCCCACAGCCAGGCAGCCCAACACCCACCCCTCACTGTCTACTCCAGGGTAGGGTTTCCTCCCCCCACAAGCATCTTACTCTTCTTTTGATTTTAGAGTTCTAGTTTTCATTTTCTGTGGCCTCTGAACAGAAAATAGATGCCCAATTTTAGGCTCTGCCTCCTGCATTAAACACTTTAGAAAATTTGATTCCTAGCCGAACCTTTCTCCCAGACAGACTGTGTGCTCAGATTTGCTGTGGCATAAAGGTCCCAGTCCCTTTCAGCACTGAGACTTATGGTTCCTGTTCCCCACACAATATGAAAAGGTAAACCCTTTGGTTACAAAACATCACCCCCCAAAACAAGGCAAGAATAGGATTAGGTACCTAATAAAAGGACTTTAAGGAAATAGCTAAGCCCCTTTGGAGCTTCAGTAACTTCTGCCCTGGAAGCAAACCATGTACCATCCGGGGGGGGGCAAGATCTTCATCAGACACTGGACCAGTGACAGCTTGACCTTGAACTTTAGCCTCCAGAACAGAGAGAAACACACATTTCTATTACAATCGTGCATCATTTGATGACAGGGCTAAGTTCTGAGAAATGCATAATTGGGCAGTTTCATCATTGTGGGAACACTGTGGAGTGTCACTGGGCAATATAATCTTAGAGAATCGTTGTCCTGTATTGATCCATCATTGACATTTTGCAGCCCATGACTATATTTATAAATTATACCCAGTCTGTGGTAGTTTGAGTGGAAAAAATGTTGTCCCCTCCACATAAGATCATTTATTTAAATACTTAATCCCCAGTTGAATGTCTGGGTGAGGAGGTTATAGAACTTTCAGGATACGGAGCCATTGTAGATGAAGTACTTCCAGGGGTTTCTAGCTTTGTCTAACTTCTAGTTTACTTTGTTTCCTTTGTGTTGGTAAAAGGTAGGGTCAGTCTGCTTCTTACTCTGGCCACCTACTGCATGCCATTGTGGATTCTCCCCCTAAAACCATAGGCCAAATAATCTCTTTCTTCTATAGGTCTCTTTGGTCCTGGTATGTTATCACAGCAACAAAAAAGTAACCGAACCCGTCTCAGGTACTTTTTGTATATCAACAAAAACAGGGGTGCAGAGGCAAGGGGTTATTGTGGACTGTTGTCATTGTTATGTGATCTCCCCAGCCCCCTTGCTTCTCAGCTCGAGTTCTGGGAGCTGAATCCTTCCCCTGTGATGGCCATGTTCACAATTCCTTCAGCACTTTTACTGCATGTGAGCAGAAGTACTAGGGAAAGCATGACTTTATGCACAGGGAGGTTAGGGGTTAGATTCTTGCTTTGTGGGTCTCGAATCTTGCAGGTGTTAGGCAAGTGTTCTGTCAAGTAGCTACATACCCAGGTGGATCTTTACTCCAGGAATTCTGCTCTATAATTCTAGAAAAGGTTGTTTTCAGTTCCCTCATGTGTCCAATAGCAATCCCAGTGGTCCCAGGTCCCATCTTCCTCAAAGGACATCTGTGCAGAGTCATCTTTAGAGAGCCTTAGATGGCAGCTGCCCTTGTTCTCACCTTAGGTTGGTCTTGACTTGTTAAATAAGCATCTTTTGTCAACTTAGCTGCTTCCCTCTTGCTTGGCTATGACTTTGGCTTTGAGACACCTTGTCAGATTCTGCCAAAAACACCTCTGTAAGAGACAAAATAGGAGCCGAGGACTGGGATGAGTGGCCCCGAGTTTAAGCTTCAGTGAAGCCATTGATGAGCTATGCAGTTCTGCCCATGATACCTCTCTCCACATCCCAATCCATCACAACAAAAGCATCCTGATGCTATCTACCCCTCATGGCATTGCCCTGATCATCTGAGGTACTGAATGAGAGCTTGAGAGGCCTCAAAAACACAGGGAAATCCCAACAGATGTGTGAACAGAGTATAAACATCTGCCTGCAGAAGCCTGATCTTGCTCTTAGTCCTGAGCCACCATTCCTCAGCCTGGTCTTTCTTAACAGTCAGCACTGCCACCAACCTCCCAAGCCATATTTTCCATCATAGCCCTTGGCACCCACTAGCATTTTACGGCCCATCTTTCTGTGTATTCAATGTCCAATCTTCCACCACATTTCCTCTCCCAGAGGGCAGGACCTTGGCCTGAGTCAGATCCCCATAGCCTAGAACAGGACCTGCTTCACACAAACAAGCTTCATAAATATTGCCACTTGAGAGCATATTTTATATCCAAGTCGTTTTTAGTTCCCTCACAGCATGTTTTATAGCAAGTAGCAAGGTTTTGAATCCGGCAGAACAGAATTTAAGCCTTCCCTTTTTTCTTAACCTTACAAAATGAACTCTGGACTCCTGCGTTTTCCGCTATAAAATAGAGAAAATATAGTATGAGCACATTGTGAAGATAAATGGAGATGATGGTGCCCAGAAGTGACTGACACCCGGAATCAGCTCTATATCCTCACTGAGTGGGTAAATGAAGGAAATACTAAACAAATCCATCCATCCAATCTCTCACCTTAGAGGCATCTTACTTCTGCCCTTCCTCCCTCTCCTGGAGGCAAGCACATTGGAAATCCTACTAATCCTTCAGCCCCAGGGCGTCTGTCTCCACAGTCCCTGCTGGCAACAGCAATCTGGATCAGCGTTAGAAGTTATTACCCTTTGAAGCAAGGGTCGGCCACTATTTTAGCTCAAGTGCCACAAATACGGAACAAACTTTGCCAGAGGCACCAGAATGGCCAAAGGAACATTTTTTTTCCAATTTTTGGAACAGCGTTACCAACACCCACTGGCATTTTGACTCTACATTGGGCTTTTCTATAAGATCTTTAATATTTACATCTCTTTTCATCTCTTTTATCTATCATTCTTCAGCAGAGGACTTCTTTTCCTTTTCTCCTATTTTATGTACCCTCACCTAGTCTTTTGGCCCTGATCTTTTTTCCTCAAAAGGCAAGCCCTTCATGCTATTCTCAGTGCCATCATTTCAACTTGTTTCCATTGCTATAGAAAAACACCACAGGTAGGAAAGTGTTTATTTGGCTTACACTTCCAGATCATAGTCCATCATTGAAGGAAGTCAGAACAGGAAATCAAACAGGATTAGAACCTGGAGTCAGGAGCTGATGCAAAGGCCATGGCAGAGAGCTGCTTACTGGTTTGCTTCCCCTGGCTTGCTCAGCCTGCTTTCTTATAGAACCCAGGACCAGTATAGCCCAGGGATAGCTCCACTCACCATGGGCTGGGCTCTCCCCCATTGATTACTAATTGAGAAAATGCCTTACAGCTGGGTCTCATGGAGGCACTTCCTCAGCTGAGGTTCCTTCATCTTATGACTCTAGATTGTGTCAAGTTGACACACAAAGCCAGCCAGTACCCCTTGTCAACTTGACACACAAGCACATCACTATTAAGCCATAACCTTTCCCTTTCTTATTTATCCCCAAATCTCATATTAAAATCATAAATAATTTTAAAAGTCCCACAGTTGTGACAAATTCAAATATATTAAGATTTCAGTGTCTTTAAAATATCCAACCTCTTTTATAAGTTTAAGTCTTTTATCTATGGACTTCTTTAAAAATCAAAATTAAATACCTTCTTCAAGAGGGAAACACCAAGGCACTGTCACAATCTGAACCAAGCAAAACCAAACTCTAACAGTATAAATACCCCAATATCCAATTATCTGGGATTCACTCCTCCAAAGGGCTCAGGTCTGTTCTCTAGTCCTGATCTCTCTTGCACACAACTTGTCTTCTAGACTCTGGTTGGCTCTACTCCACTGCTGCTACTATTCTTGGTGGTCTTCTGATGGTACTGGCATCTCCAACATGCTGGGGTCCCTTGCTGCAACTGGGCTGCACTTTCACCAATAGCCTCTCATAGGCTCTCCCCATGATGCCAAGCAGCAACTTTTTGGCATGACCCTTTCCGTCCTGGGCTTACAGCTGCTACTGCTGCACCTGCCAAGCCTTAGTTGTTCTCCATGACCCCTTCATGTCTTCAAAACCAGTACCACCTGGGTGACATTTACACATTACCAACTCCAGCTGCCAGCACAAGGTACCGCCTTGACCACTCCTAGAACTTAAGGTCTCTGTGCTCTCAGAAAATACTTCCCAAGTTTCACCTCAATGATGCTGGTCTCTTCTTAATCACTGCTAATTTCTTAGCTCCAAAAGACCAGTGTCAAATATTCCAGCAAAGCGAAATTTTGCTTTAGTAGTTCTGGTATCTTCTTAAGCACAGCTGATTCTTCAACCCCAATTAGGCATAACCTCAGGATCTTAATTCAAAATAACAAATGCCCTGAATCTTTAAACTTCTCTCTGAAACTTCACACAAGCCAGGCCTCCATCTTCTGCACTGCTCTCAACACTCTTATTTTCCAAGCTCTCAAAAAACAGCCCACAGAGCTCTTAACACCCAGTGGTTCTTCTAGACCCAAATTCCAAAGTCTTTCCACAAACCTCCTCCAAACAGTCAAGTCTGTCACAGCAACACCCCACTACACTGATACCAATTTGTCTTAGTTAAGGTTCTACTGTTGTAGCAAAACACCAAGAACAAAAAGCAAGTTGGGGAAGAAAGAGTTCATTTGGCTTACATTCCAGATCATAGTCCATCATTGGAGGAAGTCAGAACAGGAGCTCAAGCAGGGCTGGAACCTGGAGGCAGGAGCTGACACAGAGACCATGAAGACCATGGCTTACTTCCCCTGACTTGCTCAACCTGCTTTCTTATAAAACCCCGGTCCACTAGCCCACGGATGGCAACACCCACCATGGGCTGGACCTTCCCCATTGATCACTAATTAAGAAAATGCCCTAGAGCTGGGCCTAATGGAGGTGTTTCCTCAACAGAGGCTCCTTCCACTCTGAAGACTAGCTTGTGTCAAGTTGACACATAAAACCAGCCAGTACAGACTTCTTCCATTCTTCTCCCCTCTTCTTCTCTCCAAGTGTAAGGATGGTGGTGAGGTTCTGATCTATAGATATGGATGAAGTAGAAGGTTCAGATCTGCAAGATTCACGTAGGAGACAACTGATCTTAAAAGGTCCTTTTCTCACTCTCATCTTCACTTACTCTCTCTCTCATCTCATCTTCTCCCTTACTTTACTCTCTCTCATGTCTCTCTCCCCCTTTCAGTCTTGCTATAACAAGCTGTGGTTAAAGTACAAAAAAAAAAGAAGGTCCTTTTCTCACTCAAGCAGTCAAAGTGAAGCACAGGACTAGCCCTGCTGCTGTGGGCTTTTCTACATTATTTAGTGAGTATGTAGAAAGCCTTACAACAAATTCATATTATGTACTTTTCTTATTGTTGGGACTAAATGCCTGACATATGCTTCTTAAGGTAAGGTTGATTTATTACAACTTGAATTTTGAGGGTATAGTCCATTATGGCGGCAGGAGCATGAGGCCAGGGCTCACATTGCATTAGAAATCAGAGAGAGAGTCATGTTGGTGCTCTCCCTGTTTTTGTCTCTTTATTCAGTCCAGGACCTTAAACCATAGAATGCTGCCACCAACATGCAGGGTAGGTCTTCCATGCTCAGTTAAATCTTTCTGAAGATACCTTCAGAGACCTATCCAAAGGTACACTTGCATAGCAGCAAGCTGACAGTGAGTATTGAACATCACAAGATGCAAAGACCACATGCTTCCTGTGAGCATCTGCAATAAGGGAAGGGTTTCTGAGTTGAAAATAGCTTGATCCTAAGCTTCTCAGGTCACCTGAAGCATATTTAGACCTCTACAAACCATGCTCAGCAATTCACAGAGTACATATTCTAATCTTGGTCTAATCATGAACTTCCACGGTCCTCAAGGCCAGTTTTCCTTGTTTTTATCATTCACCTATAGCCTCTTGGGTTTCTGAAAAATGAGAACAAGAACTTTCACTCTTAGGTCTAAACTCCTGAGAGTGTGTTCTGAGGTTGCAGAGTGAGGAAGGAGTCTCACAAAGGGTTGGCAAAAGCATCTTCATTTCCCTGCTGTTCATACAGTGGGCATTCACACCACAGTTTTCCTTTTCTTTCTTTTTTTCTTTCCTTTTTTTTTTTTTGGTTTGTTTTGTCTTTCAAAACACAGTTTCTCTATGTAGCTTTGGAGCCTTTCCGGGAACTCACTTTGTAGACTGGGTTGACTTTGAACTCACAGAGATCTGCCTGCCTCTGCTGGGATTAATGGTGTACACCACCACTGTCAGGCTTCACACCACATTTTTATCAGGTCGAGGAGAGCTCAGAATCAGAGGTGCAAGCTCACCTGAGGTAGAGTTGTGTGTTCTCATATGCAATAGCATTGTTGGAAGGTGTCAGCTCAACGGCTCAGAGGCAGATTCTGACCCAATGAAGGTCCCTTCTGTATCAGCAGGCCAACATCACAAACCCACTGGAATTGAGTTGGGCCTGGATCTCCAGAAAACACACATCCCTAGGGCCTTTGTGCAGCAATCTGAAGGCAAAAGCTTGGTCTTGTGAGAACCTGATTTGGCACTGAGCAACTTCTAGTGACTAGGACACACAGTGCAGTGAAGCTGAAGGTAGGGAGCTGCTAGAGGTGACCGCAATAAACTTTTCTTGCAAAGAACTAAGCAAGCAGTCTCTTAAGTGACACAGATATTTAGACTAGAGAAAATGTAAAGGAAAAAGTACCAGGAACTCCGCACACACACACACACACACATGTATGAGTACATTATTATGAGTCAGGCATTGTGCTAAGCACTTTACATACCAAATTTCATTTATTTTGATGCTTAAGAAGAAAAATGGAGAAAAAGTATTCTAAGTAGCTGAGAGCATACATTTATACTGAACCGGAAAATGAAGATGAATGAAAAGCCCTGCTAAGAAAGTAGGTAAAGTGATCCTTCACGGAGACCATTTTTAGTCTGGGCTGCTAGCCAGGGGTATCTAGAAGAAAGGAAATAATGAACTTGTAGAATGTCAAAGCTGAAAAGTGTCCTGGAACACATGTTTTCCAGTCACTATTAGCTTCCTCTCACAGACGAGGGCCAAGAAAGGAAGTGGCACAGCAAGACATAGCTAGTGTCTACTTCCTGTACACTTATCTTTCAGGAAAGAAACTAATTGTCCCCATTCACCCATCAACCAGACTTTTACTTCATCATGCTTAATGGACAAAAGGGTAATTTTTTCTGGTATAATACAGACCATTCTTATCCTTCCATTAGCCTGTATATTGGGGTAATCGCCACTGACATTCATGGGATGGAGACAGCTCACTGCTGGTGATGAAGCTTACAGATCCAGCAGGGCTCATGATAAAAGTACATGCTTCCATGTGCATCTGCTCTGGGGACCAATCTGCTTCATCCTGGAGTGTAACTCCAATGTCAGACACAAGTCCAGAAGGACAAACGTGGCATCTGCCACTGGAATGGGACCTTAGATTCTCTGAATTTCTTTACTGGTAGAGCCTCCCTGGCATCTGGCTCAGAAAGACCAATTACAGAGCAAGTAACTGACTTACCCAAAGCGACACCACACCTAAAAAAGCTTTGATGCCAGCCTCTGTCCTGACTTCCTAAACAAAAGGACTGGCACTGCGCACAATCATTTGCTATTAAAAAGTAAGGGTGTAGAACACTACACACTAAGCTCAGTGAGGCTGCCAGGAGCACCCCCATCTGGCGTTCACAAGGGATTCGGGAATCACTTCACACTGTATAGCCCCTTCACACCTCATTTGACCTTTACGAAGGACACAGAAAAACAGTTCTTAATGCTGTTCCCAATGAGGTTGCACAGGTTTGAAAACACAAATAAATGATAATAAACAATATTATGACCAAAATGTAGGCTTAATATGATAAAGTATGACAAATAATAATGACCTAGTATTAAATAATTTATTATAGCAAATGTTACAAAACCTGAGGTCCTATATTTCTATGGCTGTTTCTAAGCAAAATAGCCATGTTTATAAACAATATTTATTATTAATATTCACCAGGTACTACACTATCATTCTAAGCTCATATGTATGTGTATAAGTGTATATGTGTGTGTGTGTATACTCACACAAATATATAGTGCATATATCTTCTGCTCATTCATTTTTCATAAGAGCCATTGAAGTAGGTAGACGCCCATTTCATAGATGAGGATACTGAATGATAGGCAGGTTACAAATAAAGCTCAAAGGCCTATTCAAATAGGAATACCTTGTTCAGGGCTCTCATTCTTGGAATATATCTGCATCTCTGTGTTCCTGTGCTGTCAAATATAGACCTTTTCTTCTCTCACCATTTTCCAATCAGTCAAAAACACACTTTCTTTCATTCAAAAGGGAACTAAGCCAACCCCTGAAGAAGTGTCATAGAACCTTTGTCATTTCCCTGGGTCACCATGGTATTATTGTCTCAAGCTTCAAAAACAAGAAGAGTGAAAATTAAATTCCCCTGGCAAAAGCTGTCAGTAGGAACCTCTTCTCAGTGTGAATCAGGGAGGGGTTGGGATGTGAGCCTTTGTTGTTGTCTGGCAGCCTGTCACTCTGAGCATCCAGTCCAGGGGACTCAGGTGAAAGCCTTGGCAGGCAGGGTCAAGAGCGCCCCTTGAGGCCAAGGAGGGAATGGAGGGTCCATAGCATGAGCAAGATGAGGTCTACATTTAAACAACATTAATAGTCAAAAGGGCTTTGACTGTAACCTAGAGGGCAATAAACTGACACCTTTAAGTCCTTCTAATACCCTCCAATCAAATTTGAAATGATCATCAGGCAGTTGTGGCTCATGTCCTTAATCCCAGCACTTGGGAGGCAGAGGCAGGAAGATCTCTGTGAGTGAGTTGAAGGCCAACCTGGTCTACAAAGTGAGTTCCACGATAGCCAGGACTGTTAAATAGAGACACCCTGTCTTGAAAAGAAAAACAATGATCTTGTATCCTTGCCTGCACATGATAAGTACAGGCAAGGAAACGGTGGGTGGAACAGCAGAGTGAGAAATCCAGGGTGAAAGAATGTGCCAGTCAACAGGTAGAAGACAAAGAGCAGGATCAACAGAGAATCTGCAAGATGGCCTAGAAGAGAAAATGAGATGTGTGAACAGAGCCAGGCTATGGATGGGAGTCAGGGAGATGAGACCTGTGAATAGAGCCAGACCTTCGATGGGGGAAAGGATTAGATGTGTGAACAGAACCAGGTCTAGGATGGGGGGTGATGTTGCTTCCTGAGAACAGTCTGGTCTTGTATCAACTTGACACAACCAGCCAGCTCCAGCACAGATCTATCCAGCCTTCGGGAGGACAGACAGTACTCTATGGGGATCCATACTGGGGACAGCTTCCTCTAGAAAAGCATGCTGCAAGTCCTGTGGTCTGTAACATGAGTGGGGCACCATCCTTGAGGAGGGGCTAGAAATAGAAATTGGGTTTAAAAAAAGCATGGGGGAAATCTGCATTTCTATGCATTCTCAGGTCACTAAGTCCAATAATAAGATCATGAGCTTCTCTGTCACGCTCCACCTTGGGCATCTGCTCAGTTCATATGTTTGCAGAGTAGGAGAAATATGTGACCTGAATACCTTCCAAAATGATAGCAGCTTTTAAAGAGTCTTCTACTCCAAAGGGCTCTCACTCTAAATCTGTCACTAACTGTTTCTGTTTTGGGAAAGAGCCCACATGGTAAGACTAGCTGGGCATCAGAGGTGTGTGTAATACAGTCAGAATTCCAAGCCAAGAGTTTGTGACCCTTAGTCAACACAGCCAAGA